TGAGGAACAATATAACACTGCCATTTTCGCTCCCATCAGAAAAGTTACATAGTACATCTTTAATACTACTAACAAATGTATGCCCAAAAATCCCTCCCAACCCATCACAGAATCATAATAACAATAATGACAAGAGCAGAGGTGGATGGCTCATTGCAGTAATCCCACACCAGACTGAGAACACCTTTGAAACGGTGGAGATGGTGATTTGGGATTATGACCAAATTAAGACAAGATTAGACCAGGTTTTGTGACAGGTTTTGTCGTATTTTCATTGCGATCTCTCGATCTGGAACGAGAAAATGGAATGATGATATGGATTGTAATAAAGATATAAACCCATTATTAAGACCACACATTTACTATGTTTTAGTGACAAATGTTAAAATTAAAGTCGAAGGGAGAGTCGGAGGGCCCACCACCTCCCGGCCCTCTGCAGGGCTCCGGGAGAGCGGGCGGGCCCGTTCAGTGCAACCTCTAAAGCAGTGATTCTCAGCCACTGTGCCGCGGCACACTAGTGTGCCGTGAGAGATCGTCAGGTGTGCCGTGAGAAATTATCCAATATCACTTTTTTTTTTAATTAAAATGTATTATTTATTACCTGCAAATATTATGTCATTGTCGAGTGTCCGTGCTGTAGTACAGTGTAGTATATAATGACTGGCAGAGTGATCTAATATTCGTCCGGGTGGCGACAGGCAGCTAATTGCCTCGTTCCTTTAAACGAGTGGTGCTCAATACGTCGATCCCGATCTACCAGTCGATCGCCAAGGTCGTGTGGGTAGATCGCGGTGTCTCGTCTCGGACTCGCGTTTGGACTCGGTCTTGTCTGTCACTCAAGGTCTGACACTCAACAAGTGCGATCATATTTCATTAAGGCCGCTGCTGTTGGCAATAAACTTGTACAGGTGTGCCAGAGAGTGTGGGGCGTCTCAGTGCAGCCCGCAGAGACTCTACGGCACATCACAAACACACACGCTCCCTACGCACGGCTTGTCTGTAACAGCGTGTGCCCTCGTGTACCAGCGTGCATCACAGGGCAGGTTCAACTTCCTAAACATCCTACCTGTCCATCTGCCTCACGTCAGCACGCCGCCCCTCGCCTTTTCACGCTCTCACCTTCCTGCATACAGCGAACACAAGCCCCTCCCACAGTGTTTGCTGATTAGAAGAGCAAGACCAAACGTGAAGCAAAAACCAGTCTAAATTTGATAAATAAGCTGAGTCCGCGGGTTAGGGACCGTCAATAAATTACCATTGCATTGAATGGAGTCTGCGAAAAAAAGAAATAATAATAATAAAATAAATTAAATAAGTAAAAAGAAAAAGGGAATCAAATAAAAAGAAACAAAAAAGGGATTGTGCATGTACGCTTTATAAAATATTTGTTATTTTTATGTATTTTGAGGGTTAATTAGTTAATGCATTTTTTCAATATCTTCCAGGTCAATTAATCTAAAAATGCCAAACCAAGTTATTATAGTAGTCCTACTCCTCAGGTATTGTGCACACCTTTTGGTTTTCCAAATTAACCCTTTATGGAATTTTTAGGAATTTTTAATCTTGAAAAGCTGTGATTTTTTTCAATAGCTTCTAAGGTAGATGACCTACCAACTCCAAACCAAGTTATTATAGTAATCCTACTCCTCAGGTATCACGCACACCTTTTGGTTTTCCAAATTAACCCTTTGTGGAATTTTTAATCTTGAAAATCTGTGATTTTTTTCAATAGCTTCTAAGGTAGATGACCTACCAACTCCAAACCAAGTTATTATAGTAGTCCTACTCCTCAGGTATCATGCACACCTTTTAGTTTTCCAAATTACGCCTTTGTGGGATTTTAAAGAATTTTTTTTATCTTGAAAATCTGTGATTTTTTTCAATAGCTTCTAAGGCAGATGACCTACCAACTCCAAACCAAGTTATTATAGTAGTCCTACTCCTCAGGTATCACGCACACCATTTAGTTTTCCAATTTAACCCTTTATGGAATTTTTAATCTTGAATTTTTAATTCCTAAAAATCCCACAAAGGGTTAATTTGGAAAACCAAAAGGTGTGCATGATACCTGAGGAGTAGGACTATTATAATAATTTGGTTTGGAGTTGGTAGGTCATCTACCTTAGAAGCTATTGAAAAAAATCACAGATTTTCAAGATTAAAAATTCCTAAAAATTCCATAAAGGGTTAAATTGGAAAACCAAAAGGTGTGCGTGATACCTGAGGAGTAGGACTACTATAATAACTTGGTTTAGCGTTTTTAGATTAATTGACCTGGAAGATATTGAAAAAATGCTAATTAACCCTCAAAATACATAAAAATAACAAATATTTTATAAAACGTACATGCACAATCCCTTTTTTGTTTCTTTTTATTTGATTCCCTTTTTCTTTTTTCTTATTTAATTTATTTTATTATTATTATTTTTTTTTTTTTTAGCAGACTCCATTCAATGCAATGGTAATTTATTGACGGTGCCTAACCCGCGGACTCAGCGGAGCTTTGGTGTACAGCTCCCATGGATCTATTAAAATAACTGGATACAGTATTGCTAGCTTGTAGCTGCCTCCAGTTGACGTAGTGGTCACTCACTGGAACTTCAGCAGAAAAAGTCCCGTGGGCCGAGACAAGATTTTTATCATAGAGCGCAATATAATCACAAACTGCTCGGGTTCGTCTGACAGGTCACCTACAGCTTTCAAAATTATCGGATTTGTTGGCGATTTTTTACCTATTTTAGATCATAAACTTTTTCTCGCTCAAAATCCTTGAGTTGTCTTAAAAAAACACTTTATAATCGTTAGCTTCGGCTACGCACTGCTCCGCTCTAGTTCCTCTCGCTCTGATTGGTCAAAGCGATCACGTGATACACGATCCCGCGCTCCGTGCGTGTGGTCGCATGACAGCTCCCCGCACCGTGATCGACCAAGCGGGACACAGGCAATGAACATCTCCGCTGTTGAATATCTGTTGAATATCGAACGTCTAACATGAAACTAACTTCACCACGGTCCTCGTAGCTTCATTAAATCACTCCGTGAGCTTCTTTACCCCTAACAGTAAAAACATGATTAGTGTTTGATGGAAATCTGTCCAAATATGAAAGTTTGAGCTGACTTTTCATCGCGTTAGCTGCAGATTACTAATCAAACTTTTAACTCAAATCTCCGAGGTTCACGCAGTTAAAAATAAACTTATTTGACAGTTTTGTGGGAGTTATGGCTGTATTTTACATTTACAGTTGTGTTAGTAATGATTGCCTAAAGTTAAAAGCGTGTTACTCACATGTTTTCTCCGTCTTTCAGATGGTCCTTTTGCTCTGTGTTTATATGTGCGAACAAATTCCATAACGTAAAAACAATCTTATTTAATAAACATTTAATTGCGGTCCAAATAAATCGTTTCGTCGCCCCGTTGGTCTACATGAAAGTAGAGATGACGTCTTCAGTGGAGGTCACGTGTTTCCGGTCTGGCGTGGAGCTCCACTTTCCCCATGTGTCTGCAACTTTAATAGATCCATGGTCTGCAGCCAGACCCTCTTGGCCCAGATCTCCCTCGCTTAGTAGGGAAAAACCCAGAAACATCCGGTTGGCTGTTGCCAGTCACATGGATCCATGGAACGTGCCCCCCCAAAATAAGAGTCCAAAAACTATTTTAAAACATATTTAACCAATTAATTTGTATACTTTTTAGCTTTTAACGTATTTTAAATAAAATAATTATTGCAAATGTTTTTAACTAATATTTAACCATATTGACATATTTATTGAGCTTTTATTCTATATATTTATTGCTTTTCTTATTATCATAATTTCTCTCTGACAGTCACTGTTAACCTGGGTTACAGTAGGCCTTTTATATGACTGATATGCCAATCGCAAGGTCAACAGTCTAAGCAGGGACTCCCAGACTTCCCTCACCCGGACACTTCCTCTATGTCCTCCCAGGGGCAGCTGAGAGACGTAGCCCCTCCAGTGTGTCCTGTATTTTCCCCGGGGTCTCCTTCCGGTGGGACATGCCTGGAACACCTCCCCAGGGAAGCGACCAGGAGGCATCAAGAATAGATGTCCAAGCAGCAACTCTACTCCAAGCTCTTCCCGTGTGGCTGAGCACTCCCTTAGAAACAGGGTGAGTATAGCTCAGCCACCCTGTGGAGAAAACTAATTTTGGCTACTTGTATCCGTGATCTCTTCCTTTCAGTCATTACCTAAAGCTCATGACCATAGGTGAGGGTAGAAATGAAGATCCTTGCGATTCAGCTCCTTCTTCACCACAACAGTCCAATACAGCGACCGCATGCCGATGCTGTACCGATCCGCCTGTCAATCTCATGCTCCATCCTCGCATCACTTGTGATTGGGTGGATCTCTACCCAACTGGAGAGGTCAAGCCACCTTTTTCAGGTCGAGAACTATGGCCTCGGATTTGGAGGAGCTGATATTCATCCCAGCCACTTCACACTCTGCAGAAGCCCACCCCAGTGCATGCTGCAGGTCCTGGTCTGATGGAGCCGTCAACACAACATCATTGTTTTGGAAAATTAAAATGCTGTTTAGGATTTTGTATGAGCTGTTTTGTCAAGGACAATTTTTAATAGATAAAAGTGCCAAAGTTATTGAGAAAAACTGTAAACTAACTGTAACTGTAAGATGCGGTCTTGTACTGATAAAACAGATACAACTGAAGAACATACAGCCGAACCAGAATGAAGAATACAGATGTCCGGCTTTACCACATTAAGAATAAAATAATGACGTAATTAAACATCATTGTTTCATTGAACAAAAACATATTATCAAAAATATAAAATATAAAATACAATTGAGTGTTTAGCAATAAAGATTATCTGAGTGAAGATAAAAAGTCTCTAAGCATTGAGCACAAAATGTGTAAGTATCATAGCTTGATATGAGATTTGGAGCAGTGTTTAATGATTAATCAAGGAAGCATTGACAAGCAAATAATAAAACACAATGTTACTTCCTGATACCATTGCCACGGTGTCCTGGTGAAGGCAAAAATCTAGCAAGGATATGAGTTTCGAAGTGATTATTCTTTACACTATGTTTGGTAAGAACTGCTAAAATACTTAAACTAAAATAAAACTACTATTTTTGTCCATTTTTCATTAACAGTGTTATCCACTCTCCAGGTTTAGCCTCAGGAGCTGGTGTGTTGCCTGACTCTGTGAATGCAGCTGTTGGAGACACGGTCATGTTCCCCACATCACTGACTCCAACACAAACTCCATTTATATCAATAGTCTGGAATTTTGGCAAAACAAATATCATCAGTTCAAGTTCTGCTGGTAACTTCACTGCTCCAGAGTATGAAGGCAGGATCTCTCTGTTCATCTCTACTGGATCTCTGGAGCTCAGGAACATGGCTCTTAGTGACACTGGAGATTACAAAGTGGACATTTTACCAGCAGGAAGTGCAGTACAAAATGGAGACACTACATTGAACGTTTATGGTAATTATACATTTTACATTATTATTTACAATTTAATTTATGGCCATATTTTTTACTTCCACTTTATATTTTTGTATACATTAACATTATTGAAACTTTCAAAAGAAGTCAATCATTAATCATTATTTTTACTTTTTAATTTTTGTTTTATTATTTAATCTTTTCTTGAATTATTTAATCTTCTCAGAATTAACATTATTTTTCTCAGTAAAAAGTAAATTTGTCAGAAGCTGAGCTGACTTTTTGACCCTTCTTAACTCCAAGATGAAGGCATAAAATTTGCCACTTGTAAACTGTCTTTTTCTATAAGATTTGTCATTTAACCTTTTCTTAATCCATCAAGGAAAAGATATGGGCAATTTGCATGTGTCAAGGTCATAGGCTGTCAATGGTCAAGACAAACCTTTACTAAATTAGACATATTTGCAACTCCTCTTACACCTTGACAGCACTAACATCAACACCCAGTGAGGAAACTTTTCTGAGATATTTTTTGTTTTTCTTCCACAGAGAGAATCACAAATATTTATGTTGAGTCATCCTCCAATGAGCCAATCGAGGGCTCCTCACTGAACTTAACCTGTGATGCCTCTGGTTCCATCTTCACCAGAAAGTGGTCAATAAATGAACAGGAGCTAAATCCTTCTGAAAACATTATATTTTATGACCAAAAACGAGTGTTGTCTTTTAAAATCCTGAGCAGAAAAGACAGTGGAAGATACCTCTGTGAAATCAGCAACCCCATCAGCTCTGAGACAACTGCTTACAATCTGGATGTAATCTGTAAGTGTCTGGGCACATTATGTTTGAGTCATTTATTATAAAACATTTCCTGGACAGTATTTTTCAGATGGACCAAAAATTATTCAAATTGCAGGTCCCAAAAAAGATTCAAGTAAAGGAATCACTAAAATTAACCTGCTTGAGTGACTCTGTACCAACTGCTAAGTACACCTGGATAAAGAATGAGACTATTCTCACTCACTCATCTGAATATACTAAATCTATGGCTCAATCTTCAGACAGTGGAGAGTACTGGTAAAAAGTGGATTTATGTTTATTCACAACTTTCATGACAAACAGGCTCCCTACAGATTCTTTAAAGAAGACATTATTAGATATTTATTTAATATTAAACTACAACATAAATAGACAATTGTTTACATTTTGCACATTGTTAATCAAAGTATTAATCTAAAACAGTTAAATCAGAGAAACAGATCCAATTACTTTCTGTTCAAAACTGCAGAACTGAGACTTCATCTCTTCACAGTAGCATTTCACCCATAGACTGTATAAAAAAGTGGACTAAGCGAGTGTGACATCATCCATAGCATTCAACGTCACTCAAATGAAGCGGGGGATGCTAACATTTACAGAGGTGAATTTGGACCCCGGCTCAGTATTGTGAATAGGACTTGTTTAACGGACAAAATTGTGAAATAAAAACACCAGGGTCATGATAGTGCGGGTAAATACGTACATTTTAAGACCAAAATGACAAGGCTCACTCCAGCAATTACAGAGAGAGGAGCCACAAAATACCAATGTAAGTCAAAGGGAGCCAGGGTCAGTAGGAGCCGGAAGCGCCCGCATGCGAACTTCCTATTTGGAATGCGGCAGTAAGCACATTAACTATCTCCATTTATATATAAAGTCCTTGATTTGACCTTAGCAAACAGCACATTTTCATTTTTATGTTTTTATCATTTAAAAATGACATTTCTGCACCCTACATATATAACTCAGTCTGAATCTTTTGAAATAGTCACAATACAGAGCAGTGAACAGAGATATCGTACAAGTACAAACTAATGCTGAGAAAACACCAATATAACATGGTTAAAAGCTCATCAAAAAAAATCTACAAAATATGTCCTCTTTAAACCATAATGAACACAAATGATCACTGGGTCTGTGGTGTTTTCCTTTTTGACTGTTCATGTGCTGAATAATTCAACGTTCACTCATCACAATCTGCAGTAACATTATGAGACCACTATATGGCGCTGTGGTCACTGGTTAAATGTATCTCGTTGTATTTCTTTAGTTCCTTCAGAGGGTCTTTCAGCTGGAGCCATCGCTGGAATAACTGTTGCAGTATTAGTGGTTGTTGCTGGAGCTGCAGTGGGAGGGTTTTATTTGTACAAACACCTGTAAGTTATAAGCACAATATCTTTAGTGTCTTATTTATAATATGTATGTAGGCCTACTGTATATTGACAATATTATGTTTCATTGTTTTTTCCTGAAAAGGCAAAAAGTTAAGCAATAACAGTAAGTATTATTGTATTTATTAGATATTATACTCAAAAACATGATTTAAGTGTGATTATGCCTCCACATACAGGTCAAAAGGAGCTGCATATCTACAAGAATACTTCAAATACACACAACTCTAACACTGATGAAGAAAAAGTGTATAAGAATGATGTAAATCCATACAATCGAAACTTGTAGCTTTTATATTTTTTTAACTTAAAGGTGCACTGTGTAACTTTTGTGGTGGAGGTTTTACCACCAGCTTGTCTCCATGAAAAAGTTTATTGCTTTGCCTGGTATGTTCCACAGTAAGACATAAAGCATGTCTATTTCAATGGTAACAGGCAAGTGACACCACCAGGCCAAGTTACAGATCAGATCTGTGGAGATGTTACCCTGCTTACATTATGATAGCATTGTTAAATTTATGAGCGATAAAAACAAAAAGGTATTAAATGTAAGATTTAAATTTAATGTCATACAATAGAGCATTGAAGGGAAAGCAATCAATCAATCAATCATCTCCATGGAGACAAGCAAGTGGCAAACCCTCTACCACAAATGTTACACAGTGCACCTTTAAATTAGTGCATCATATAAATTATTTGTGTGAAAATGGCTGTGCTGTGTGTAGACTCCTGCATTTAACTTTAATAGTTATGAATATATGTATATACTGTAAAATACAACAATGCCTCTGCAGTTGGATTAAATAAAACTTGATCTATAGAGAAACAACACCCTGACCCTAATCTCACCCCTAACCCAAACCTAACCCTGCCTTAACCCCTAATCCTACTTTAACCGCTAACCCCTAACGATGATCCTAAACTCCTAACCCTAACCTAACCCTACCTTAAACCCTTAACCATATCTTAACCCCTAACTCTACGTTAAGACTGAACCCTGACCCTAATACTATTTTAACCCCTAATCCTACCTTGAATATTTTTTATGGCATTCAGTGTTATTTTAGATATTTGATACAAGCTCGCTTATAATGAACACTGGAGCAGTCATGATTTATTTATTTTATTTTTTTTTTTTTGTACAATAAAGTAACCATTTTAAAATACAACTTTACATCTCTCTTGGACTCAAAAGTTTTTTTCATTTAAACACTGCAGACAATAGAAAAATATACTTACATGACGTGATATAAAAGATTATGAAATCGCATATATTCAAAAAGGTATTTTAATCCCACAGCCTTACTTTACATTTATTTACAGGATTTTACATTGCTGTGTATAAACAACAGACTTCTGCAGACAATAACTATACAGTACTCCTAGTGTTTCTCTCCCATTTTATCCATGTAGCTTTTGAAAATTTGCATTTTATACTTATTTTTGAACGGCCTTATGTTTATAGAAAGTTTTATTTGCAGATTTGTTTTGGTCCATTATCTCATGGGTCGGTCCATATGAAATCAGCCACCCTCCCCTATGAGCCATCTCAGATTTGGCTGAAAAAATTCTAAAAATTTATAAAATGACCAAATGAAAGAATTTCACATTTTAGCTCAATCCCTTGAGTCGTTCCTGAGTTATGGGCTGTTGAAATTTTGGGGCCATGCTCACTTTTTCAGACACCTTAATTTATTAAGGGGGGTGGGGGAGGGGGGGCGCTATGGGCCCCAAAATGTCACATTCGGTTGCCGCTCAATTATTATTATTATAATTTTTTCAATTTTTGAGGTCTAAGATCTATTTCTCCAAGCAGATATTTACAACTAACTGTTAACCTGAATTATGAGAGAATGACCATTCTTGACAACAATCTCACACTTTTCTGAGCTTTCATGTGTATGGTGTAGAGCCCCAAATATGGTCACAGACCAAATGTGATCTTTTTGGCCCCTTCTTTGGACCCTCAGTTCCCCATGTGGGCACAGTTAGATGTGGATAAAATTTTTACCAGAGACATTTTGGCATATTCTGATTAGTTTAAGGTAATAAAAACATCTACTAACTTCCTTCATTTCAAACGGAGCTCTCACAGGTAATTTTTGGTGGAGCTTAGGTACTTTTCCATCTCCTAGAAAGGTTAAATTACCTTTAATAGACTTAAATGCTATTTGCTTGTTGTAAGGGAAGACAATTGTTGATTATTTGTGGTACATTGCTTGTGATGGTTTTGGTGGCACATTAAAACACTCAGCTGCAAGGACCAGTCTTCAGACAAATGATAGCAATCAAATATTGACCCGAATTCCAGATGTTTAGGGAAGAAGTGCACGAAATTATCGCCTTGACACTGCAAATTATGACAGGATCCAAACATTACTTCTGAAGTTCATTAGTAGTTAGGAACACTCAGTGAAACTCAATTTGTTCATTTTAAGAGGAAATGATATATATGTTTGGTCAGGCTCTACGTTCTGCTCTGCTGAGTCAGAACCAGATAACAGCATATCAAAGGGTTCAGTGTCTCAAAAACACAACATTGACAGATCTCACCGTGGTAAATACATATGCGTGGCATCAAACTTGGTCACTGGCAAGTCAGTAAGCAGGGACTACATCTTCTCTATCAATGGTAATGTTCAACAAGTGTCATGTTGTATTGTAAATGTACAATAATGATCTTTAAAGTTATTTGTTCATTCATACACAGACAAACCTCTACATCCTGGGGCCATTGTTGGAATAGTATTTGGTCTTATGGTGCTTGAGGGAATTGTATTTGGCATCATATACTATATTTTGAAGAAGTAAGTAAAATATTGCACGTTGTGACTTTATTTTTTTTTCTTTTCACTTTTAAGAAAGTAAAAATAGATCATGTGACAGCATGTGTGAATACACAAGGGATTCAAAAAGATGGACCTGTCTCATAACCTTAAGTCAGAATGTTAATTATTGGATCTGTACCTCAGCAATTGGTTTTGTTTGCGCAGTTTTATGTTCACGTATGTTTAATTCTTGAAAATGCCTAGAAATGCACTTTATTCTTTTTATTTGAAATGTATAGGCATAGTCAGCAGTAGGCCAACTGCAATAATTATTCTCTGTAGTCTCTGAGAGCAGGATTAAAACTTCGGAGCTGCAGTGGGAAATTAATTTAACAGCACAGAAAAACAAATGACCAAAGTGTAAGGGTTTTGATGGTAAAATTTCCTTTTGGGAAATGGTTGATCAGTTTTCAATGTAAAACTACATTTAGCTAATTTAGATTTAGACTTAGAGCTGTTTTGAAAATGTCGATTTTCAGTGGATAAATGTGCCAAAGCGATTGAAAAAAAATTATAAATCTTTATTATAATAATAATAAAGATGTATTTTGCTATCAGAGATTACAGATCAAACCAAGTGGTATCTGATATCAGTGTCCTTACACCTTTGGCGACACAATGTTTGTTTGTTGTTGTTTTTTTAGTAGAGCAATAACACCCTGATTATCTCCAAAAATTATCACAGGTGTAAATCAAAATGTATTGTCCATTCCGGTAAGTAAGTTCAAAAGATACAAGCTCTCCTGAGCTGTAGATGACAGAGTCTTATAGCCATATTCACCTTCACATGTGGATAAAGCAACTGGGCTGTTTTTTAGATTTCCAGGAGATAATAGGTCCAGTCTCAGACAAGCTAAAGCTGTAACCAGTAACACTGTAATTATGGTCAGCTACCCAGTCTGCATCACTGTAGACTCAAAGTTTTAGGTTTACCTCATGCTTCTTGTAACATATTTCCTGGTGCACGGTGCCTTTCAAATACCTCAACACATGTTTAACTGCCACCCAATGTTGTTCTTTAGGTTCAGAAAAAAACAGATAATTTACTGACAATAAAACTTAGATCAGGGTATATGTCATGTGATTAAAATGCCACTACTTCACAATACCTCTTTGGATTAGCAGCATCAAATTTCATATTCATTTCACATGGTGTTGATTTTGATCAAGAATTTTAGTAATGTTTCTGTTTTGATTCTTTTTGATTTTTTTTTTTGTCAGGGCACAATCAATGCCAAAGAAATATCTTAGTTTCCCCAAGATCTTTTTAACTTTTGAGTTTGGCCCCCAACATTTCCTTCACATTACTGAACATTTGACCAACACTCACTGCAATAAGAAGATCTCTGGATCTCTGTGTTGAGTAAATCACTGATTGTAAAGTGTGACCTAAGGCACCCTTTTTATCAATAAATAAATATTAAAATGCCCAAAGCCACAGATAAGTCTGTAAATAAAAGGAGATGAGACTTAAAATATGTAATTAAAATGTATGGAAAAAAGAAACAAAAACAAAAACAGGCAGTGGGTAAAACGATAAAATGGTTAATATTAATAAACTCTACTAAAATAAGAATAAAAAAACAAAAAAACAAAAAACTGTAACTAGTCAGTCAGTCAAGTTTCATGCTATTCCTTCAGAAACACTTTCATCGCCTCTCATCTAGTGCCATCTAGTGTTGGGATAAGTGTTGCCTCATTAGTGTGACTGCAGGGTGGTTCTATGTGTATAAGCACAATGTTATCAACATAATCCAATGGTAAGGATGGGACAATACAAATGATATGACTAATCTCAATAAAAAGAAAGACAGTGCCTGTTTGAGTGATAATTGCCACAGATTGTACAGAAAAAAAAGCTGTGTGATTTCTTCAAGCAGCATGTCTATGTGAATACAACAAACACNATTACACTGCGTTCTGATGAAACTGGTGAAGCTGAAAACTAAAGAAGATATGAATCTCCAAGTTTTTATTCTTTGTGCTATTTTTAGTAAGAACTGTTGAAAACCTGTATTCAAATTTACTATAATTTTTACTTTTAGTTAGTAATTTAATAGCTGTATAATCTCCAGGTTAGCCTCAGGAGCTGGTGTGTTTCCTGACTCTGTGAATGCAGCTGTTGGAGGCACAGTCATGTTCTCCACATCACTGGCTCCAACACAACTCCATTTATAACAACAGGAATGGTTGTTTGGCACTAAAAATATTATCACTTCAAGTTCTGCTGGTGACTTCACTGCTCCAGAGTATGAAACCAGGATCAGAATCACTGTGTTCATCTCCACTGGATTTGTGGAGCAGCATGTCTATGTGAATACTACAAACACACATGCCTTTAATACACATAAGACAAGTATGATAAAGGAAATATCAAAACTTGTTTGTAATGTTCCATGTTGGCAAATCGGGACAGACACCAATCCAGTTATTTCAGCTCTGATACCGATTTCGATACTAGAGCTTTAAGTATCTGCTGATTGTCGCCATCAACTGATACCAGTGCAGAGATGAATAACTCCATCTATTTTCTTTAAACTAAAGTAAAATAAGAACACTGACATAAATGTGTTGTGTAACTGTTATTTATCCCACAAGTGACTGCTGAACATCTCTGTATAAAGAAAAATTCAAACATTATGAGACTTTTTAGGCCAACTATGACCAGTAAATATTCTTATTATAATGATTTATATGTTAGAAGTCATATCTTATCCAGCAGTTTTCAAATAAAAGAAATGAGGTTCAAGTAGAAACAACACTCAAGTTAAGTGGCTTGGCAGAATCTTTACCTGAAGCCAGGTACATCTGTATTAAAATGGGACAACTGTAGCTAGTTTGTTTGAATACTTAAATAACATGACTGAGCTTTCAGACAGTAGAGAGTACGTCTGTCAAACCACTAATCGGATATAAAGAACATACAAATGCACTTTTTTGCCAGTCAAAGATACTGAAATTTGGGGACCTGGTAAAATTTAAAACTTGCCAAATCTTATTTAAAGTGAAACTCAACCTGCTTCCAGATAATATTCAAAAACTGTTTTGCACAAATGAATTCAAATACAACCTGAGAGGTCAAATGAATAAAAAAAAAAAACTATTCTCTTGAACCAGACATAGAAGTAGACGTATGAAAAAAGAAAAAAAACAAAACAAAAACGATTGTATTTCTGTTGGAGAGGATATGGAATATTCAGTCAAACACTGTAGAAATGTTTAAAAAAAGAGTATAAAGAGTTATGTTTTGAAAGATATAGAGCTCTGGAATGAGTGAATTATGCATTAAATTTAGTTTGTTTTAATTTATATTTTGTCTCTTTATATATACAGTACGTCGTAAGTGAAATTGTAATACGGATATACTGGTCCAGTGGATAATAATTAATCAAAGCAGATACAACAAACCACTGCAGTACTTCCTTATGTGTATTTCATTTTGCCAGTGAGTTCCTGACCTCAAAACAACAAAAGACATGAGTTTCCAAGTGATTATTTTCTGTGCTACCTTTGGTAAGAACTATTCTAATACTTTTTAATATAATATATAGTTATGTGAAGAATCTTTTTTATTATACTTTTATTTTTCATGAACAATGTGTGATTCTCCTTCAGGTTTAGCCTCTGGAGTTGGTGTGTTGCCTGATTCTGTGAATGCAGCTGTTGGAGGCACAGTCATGTTCTCCACATCACTGGCTCCAACACAAACTCCATTTTCAACAATAATCTGGAATTTTGGCTTAACAAATATCATCACTTCAAGTTCTGGGGGTAACTTCACTGCTCCAGAGTATGAAGGCAGGATCACTCTGTTTATCTCTACTGGATCTCTGGAGCTCAGGAACGTGGCTCTTAGTGACACTGGAGATTACAGAGTTAACATTTTACCAGCAGGAGGTGCAGGACAAACTGGAGTCACTACATTGAAGGTTTATGGTAATTATACATTTTCTATTATTATTCACTGTTTAGAGTTGGGTGATTGTATACCAATACTGCGATACTGAAAAAGTGTAACGTCATAAATACATATTGTGATTGAAAATGCATGCTCGTCTTGTGCATCTGGACACAAAATGAACCAGTGCTTCAAATAGTGTATTTGATGTCTTAAATGAGAAGCCAAACAGTCATGTTAATATAATTTTGAGTGGTCTCCTTGTGTGTTTATAATCAATGGCATTTTATTTTATATCATAATCATGTGTTATCGGTTAAAAGAAGTGTTTTTACTGTTACTGAGCAAAACACCAGCCACTTTGTATTTTCATAGATAGATTAACATGCACTGTCCCCCCTCCCTCAGAGCCAGTGTCTAATGTGAGAGTCACAGTCAGCAGCTCAGACTTAGTGGAGTTCAACAGTTCTGTGACTCTCTCCTGTTCTGCTGATGGGACCAGCCTGACAACTTTCCTCTGGTTAAACGGCAGCACTGAAGTTACAGCCAGTGACAGAGTGCACCTCACTGATGGAGGAGCAACTCTCACTATAGACACTGTGTGGCGCTATGACCAGGGACCATTCACATGTGAAGTGTCTAATCCTGTCAGTAGCAGCACCAGTGTCCCAGCAGAACTCTCCATCAACTGTGAGTAAAAACTGTCTACAGTAAACACAGTGACTTTCCATTTTATAATTTTACATAAACTAATATGAATATTTTGTTTCTTCAGATGGACCTGATGATGTCATTTTGAGGACTTCTCCTTCTCTTGATCACTATGAGGAAGGTTCAGACGTGTCTCTGTCCTGCTCAGCTGACTCCAGACCTGCAGCTCAGTTTAAATGGCTTTTAAATGGAGAGCTGTTGTCTTTTACTGGAGCACAGATACAACTGAAGAACATACAGATGAGCCAGAGTGGAAACTACAGCTGTGAGGCTTTCAACAGCAAAACTCTCAGATATACAACGTCTCAGCCTGTGAGGATCTCTGTGCTGAGTAAGAACTAATACAGTTTCATACACCTGTCTTTTCATGTATATTTTACATGAAACACAGAGGACATAAAATTCACTGCTTGTAAATTGTGTCTTTTATCTATAAGATTTGTTAGCTGAACTTTTCCTAAATTCGTCAAGGGGAGGATGTGGCCCTAATTTGCATGTGTCAAGCTAAATGAGTCATATTTACAGTAACTCCTCTTACATCTTGACAGCACTTAGAAAGGTTTCCTCACTGAACATTGATATGAGACATTTTTGTTTTATTTTCCTTCCACAGAGAGAATCACAAATATTTATGTTGAGTCATCCTCCAATGAGCCAATCGAGAGCTCCTCACTGAACTTAACCTGTGATGCTTCTGGTTCCATCTTCACCAGAAAGTGGTCGATAAATGAACAGGAGCTAAATCCTTCTGAAAACATTGTATTTTATGACCAAAAACGAGTGTTGTCTTTTAAAGTCCTGAACAGAAAAGACAGTGGAAAATACCTCTGTGAAATCAGCAACCCCATCAGCTCTGAGACAACTGCTTACACTCTGGATTGTAATCTGTAAGTGTCTAGGTATATTATGTTTCAGACATTTATTGTAAAAATGTACTTTAACTTGTCATAATTTTTTAGATGGGCCAGAAAATGTTCAAATTTCAGGTCCAAAAGAGATTCAAGTGAAGAAAACATTAAAATTAACCTGTTTGAGTGACTCTGTACCAGCTGCTAACTACACCTGGATAAAGAATGGGACTGTTCTCACTCACTCATCTGAATATATTAAATCTATGGTTGGATCTTCAGACAGTGGAGAGTACATCTGTCGAGCTTCAAATGAAATCACAACAGAAAACATCTGAGACGTCACATACAGTGCTTGTAACTGGTAAAAAGTGGATTTATGTTTATTTTCCTGTAGTTCAGACTTTCTCTCTGGTCAAACAGGCAACTCTTTAGAGAAGATATATTTGTTTATCATATATTTTTTTAGTTTTTCCCTATAATATACATAGATATTTACATGTTGTACATTGTTAATCACAGTATTGACCTAAAATTACTTTTGACCACAGCAAGTAGCAGATTTAATTTTTTACAGTTTAAAAATGGCAGTGTGACTTTTCTACACACCACTGTTTGAACAATCTGAAATTGTCTGAGCACAGAAGCCTACAGGACAACACAGGATTACACAAACATGCAGGATCAACCAAAAACAACTATGAGTAAATTAATATTGAGGAAACACCAATATAACATGGTTAAAAGCTCATAAAAGTAAATTCTACAGAATATGTCTTTAAACCATAATGAACACAGATCATCACTGGATCTGTGGTGTTTTCTTGTTTGACTGTTCACATGACTGTGCTGGTCAGAATAATTCAACATTCACTAGTCACTATCTACACAATCTGCAGTAACATTATGAGACCACTATATGGCGCTGTGGTCACTGGTTAACTGTATCTCATTGTATTTCTTTAGCACCTCCAGAGGGTCTTCTCAGCTGGAGCCATCGCTGGAATAACTGTTGCAGTATTAGTGTTTGTTGCTGGAGCTGCAGTGGGAGGGTTTTATGTGTATAAACACCAGTAAGTTATAAAAACAATATCTTTAGTGTCTTATTTATAATATGAATGTACACCTACTGTATATTGACAATGTTATGTTTGATTTTTTTTTTTTTTTTTCTAGAGAAGGCAGAAAGTTAAGAAATAACAGTAAGTATTCTTGTAGTTTATCAAATATTCTCAAAACATGATTTAAGTGTTATTACTCCTCCACATACAGGTCCAAAGGAGCTGCATGTCTACGAGAATACTTCAAATACACACAACTCTAACAGTAATGAAGAAAATGTGTATGAGAATGATTTAAATCCATACAGTCGAAACTTGTAACTTTAATTTAATTTTTTATTTACATTTCCGCATCACATAAAATATTGTTGTTTGTAGACTCCTGTATTTAACTTTAATAGTTATGAATGTATGTATGTACAATCTGTAAACAATAATGTGTCTGCAGTTGGATGAAATAAACCTTGATCAATCAAGAGCAAAAGCTGTGTAATTTAACACTATTACATCTGTACATCCTCTCTGTCACTTTCACTTGCAGTCCATTAACAGTGAATGTAAAACTAAAACTGAATAAGTACATATTTACAATTTTATAAAAAAAAAAAATATATATATATATAATATATATATATATATATATATATATATATATATATATATATATATATATATATATATATGTAAAGTAAATAAATCTTTCATAAAAAATGTAGTGGCTGATGTGGACTTAGTGAAACTACAATAATAAAGTACAGCTCTAAGGGGTTGCAAGAGATTTTTTTGGGGTCGCTTCGTCACGATCTGCATGTAGGTCTGCAGTATACACTTCTGACACATGAGAGAACTGCTGAGTCAGTGAATCCTATCTGCCTGCCCAGAACAAGTGTTCCTGCAGCTAAAGTTGAGAAAAACTTGCTTGGTTGTCCAAAAAGAAGGATGATAATTCAGCAAAGGTCACTACACTTCAGGACACTTCTGGATACCTTTTTATTGCAGGTTCAATTACTGTTTTTCATTGCTTCAAACTTGAGTAATACTAATTGTTTAGAACAACATGATCACTCAGTCAACAATAAAATATCCTCATTAATGTTCAGTAATGCTCAAATCCACCTTTATTTTGTAATTTACGAATGATGTCTATTGACTTGGGTTGCAAAGGTTTGTGACTTTTAAAATATGGGTCCCCAGAAAAAAAAAAAGAAAAACACTGATATAGATGAATGACAAACACAATACTTCCTACTAAATACTTCATATTACCACTGCGTTCTGATCAAACTGGTTAATCTGAAAACTACAGAAGATATGAGTCTTCAAGTTTTTTTTCTTTGTGCTATTTTTGATAAGAACTGTTGAAAGCCTATATTCAAATATTAAGTTTAATTTACTTATATATATATATATATATATATATATATATATATATATATATATATATATATATATATATATATATATATATATATATATATATATATTTACCTTTTAGTTAGTAATTTAATAGCTGTGTAATCTCCAGGTTTAGCTTCAGGAGTTGGTGTGTTTCCTGACTCTGTGAATGCAGCTGTTGGAGGCACAGTCATGTTCTCCACATCACTGGCTCCAACACAAACTCCATTTATATCAACAGGATGGTTGTTTTGGTGCTAAAAATATTATCACTTCAAGTTCTGCTGGTGACTTCACTGCTCCCGAGTATGAAACCAGGATCAGAATCACTGTGTTCATCTCTACTGGATCTGTGGATCTCAGGAACGTGGCTCTTAGTGACACTGGAGAGTACAGATATATGGTCAGTGAAACACCAACAAATATAAAACATTAGTGGTAATAAATAAATGTGTCTTAGTGCATATGTTTGTGCTTGAAACAGGTGGAGGTGCATTGATAAAGCTTTTTCAGTTACTTGTTCCTGTTTTGCTGGAATAAATTGCATCTTTTTGTGTTAAATTAATTGGAAACATTCACAAAATTAATATTTAAAAGTCACTGTGTGAGTGAGGATCTTTGTGAGTAAGTCAACATTCAAGTACACATTGAAAGAAGCTATAAAACATTCAAAATCTTACTTCATCAAATCACAGAAAACATACTTCAGTTCTAGTTTAATTTTAAACTAATGATATTTTGATTTTGTTTTGTTTTTCTTCCACAGAGAGAATGACAAATATTTCTGTTCTGTCATTCTCCAATGAGCCATTCGAGGGCTCCTCAGTGAACTTAACCTGTGATGCTTCTGGTTCCATCTTCACCAGGTCAATAAATTGAAAGGAGCTAAATCCTTCTGAAAACATTGTATTTTATGACCAAAAATGAGTCTTGTCCTTTAAAGTCCTGAACAGAAAAGACAGTGGAAGATACATCTGTGAAATCAGCAACCCCATCAGCCCTGAGACAGCGGTTTATGCTCTGGTGTATTCTGTAAGTGTAGACAAGCTGCTTTAGGTTAACTTATTAACGTTAAACATAACACTTTGAAGAAATAATGCAAACATTATTTTTCAGATGGAACAGAAAATGTTCAAATCTCAGGTTCAAAAGAGATTCAAGTGAAGAAAACAACCTGCTTGGGTGACCAACTGCTAACTACACCTGGATAAAGAATGGGACTGTTCTCACTCACTCATCTGAATATACTGAATCTATGGTTGAATCTTCAGACAGTGGAGAGTACATCTGTCGAGCTTCAAATGAAATCACAAAGAAAACATCTGAGGCATCACATACAGTGCTTGTAACTGGTAAAAACAAGTAGATGTTGATCTTGCTATCTACAGATTCTTTAAACTATATGAACACAAATCACCAGAATCTGTGGCATTCCTGTTTGGCAGCTCACATGGCTGAGCTGGTCAGGATAAATCAACCTTCACTAGTCAGCATCTACACAATCTGCAGTAACACAGAGAGGCCACTACATGGTGCTGTGCTCTCTGCTAAAGTCACTACAGTCACTACAAGCAGTAACGGTTAACTGTATCTTATTTTATTTGATTTTGTAAGTCTCTCTAGAGGGTCTCTCAGCTGGAGCCATCGCTGGTACAACTGTTGCATTATTAGTGGTTGTTGCTATAGCAAATCTTTGTGTCTTATTTGTAATGTAGACCTACTATATATTGACAATGTGGTGTTTTGGTTTTTTTTGTTTTGTTTTTTTTTCAGGAAAAGGTAGAGAGTTAAGCAACAACAGTAAATATTATTGTAGTTTATCAAACATTCTCAAAAACATTATTTATTGTAAGTATTATTCCACCTCCACCTACAGGTCAGAAGGAGCAGCATGTCTACACGAATACTTCAAATACACACAACTAAGAAAGTGTCTGAAAATGACCTAAACTTGTAACTTTTATTTTATGTTTAAATTAATCTACATAACATAAATTATCTGGCTATGTTGTGCGAAGACTCCTGTATTTAACTTTAACTTATGAATGTATGTACATACTGTAAAATACAACGTCTCTGCAGTTGGATGAAATCTGTGCAATGCTGTGTTGTTATAATGATGTTTGTGACATTGTTTAGCACTGATCCTTCTTTGTCACTTTCACTTTCAGTCCATTAACAGTGAATATTTACAATTTCATAAAAATAAATAAATAAAATACTGATTACACATGACACACTCAGTGAAGCTACATTAATTAAGTACAGCTCTAAGAGAACAAAGAGCCAAAGGTTGATATGGAATCTACTAAAGTATAATAATTAACTAAAGTATATTATACAGATGAATGACAAACAATATGATACATCTTGCTAAATACTTCACATTACCACTGTGTGCTGGTGAAACTACAGAAGATATGAGTCTCCAAGTTTTTATTCTTTGTGCTATTTTTGGTAAGTTGAAAAACTATATTCAAATATTAACTTTAACTGAATCATACATTTTACATTTTCAGTCAATTATTTAGTAGCTGTGTGTAATCTTCAGGTTTAGCTTCAGGAGCTTTTAGTGCTTAATTCAATAACTTTGTGATGTTTTCAGCTGTTTTTTTGTTTTGTTTTGTTTTGTTTTA